ATTTAGTTTCTTTCGTATTAGTTTAAATTTTACTTTATTTTGTTTTATATAGATTTTTTTATTTTTTTTTTTAAATCTTTATATTTTATCTTCTTAAACTTTTTTATACTATTTATTTTTATTTTATTTGCCCTCGATTTACTTGTTATTTTAGTTTTTTTCGAAAATTAAAACTTTATTGTGAAAAAATGATTTTAATCGTCTGGAAACGATTGCTTGATCAGTTCCTAATACTTTTACAAGTTCTTCTTGCGTCTGGCATGCATCTGCGTCGAGCAATGTCTCCAATTCTTCGTCTTAAAATTTTTGTTGACAGTCCGAGTCGTTTTCCGTCGTCTATGTTGAGATCGCCGCTTTTAAGCCGTGCAAACCACTTTTGGCACGTTCGTCCGGCGAAAGCATGGTCACCATAAACGTTCAGTAAAATACGATCGATGGCTTTCGGTAGCACTTTTCTTCATGTCAAAGTAATGAAGAAGAACTCCCCGCAAAAAAACTTTTCCTGGTACAAATATCGACATTTTTAAATGAATGAAACAAATTGTTGTTCACGCTAAAACAAATGACATCTGAAACGTACTGAAACGGCGCGAAATGACAGTACCTTTGAAATGAATAGAGCCTTCGAAAACCAAATTAATACATACACCTATTATTTACTTAATATTATTTAATTAAATATATTTATTTTAATTCCTTATATATATTTCTAAATTATTTTGTTTAATCCAGTTTTATTTTATTCTACAATAGTTTCTTTTGTTTTTTAATTTAATTATTTTTATTTTATTTTGTTTAATTTTTTTTATTTAAATTCTGTATATTTAACTTCATTTTATAATGCTTTTTATTTTATTTGAATGACTTATATTTATTACTAATTATTTTATTAATTTATTTTTATTACAGTTTGTTTAATTTTGTTATGTTTTATTTATTTTCTTTCGCTTTATTTTATATTTTGTTTTATTAATTTTTAATTTATAATCTTTAATTTAGAATTTATTTATTTATTTTTTTATTATTATTTTTTTAGTTCCATATATGTTACTTTATTAAAATTTGTATTATTTACTTTTATATATTTATTTTATTTTTTTATTTACTTTTCTTTCGTTTTATTACTTTATTCATTCCCTTTATTTTAATTTAATTTTCTTTTGCTTTATTTTATTTTAATTCTTTTATATTTACTTGATATAATTTTATTTTATTTTATATATTTTAATTTTAATTTAATTTTTTTTTAAATTGTATTGTGTTAAATTTCTTCTTTTATTGTGTTTTAATTTATTTTAATTTATTCCACTTTTGTATTTTGTATTTTTTTGTTTGATTTATGCTTTAATTTTTCGCGCATCTTTGGCACCTGCTTTGCATTCCACTTGCTACAAATCACACCTGGTGAGCTTCTTTTGTTCGGCTCATAAGCTTCAAATTGGCTTACATAAAAGGTTTTTACATAAATATGTCTGTGTATACATACGTAAACGACATGTCGCACGCAACTCGCGGCAGTTGCTTGCCTACATACTCATACGTATGTAGGTATGTATAATATTTCTTGCTTTTCATTTCCACTTTAGTTTTTGCACGTGTTTGGCTTTATTTTTACCGTAATGACAATGGACTGTCAGTTGTCAACAGATTTTTGTATCATTATACAGTTATTGAGTGAGCTTTTTGCAAAAGCTTATTTTTAGGAAGAACTATAATATGCATCGATCCAAATCTCTAAAAAGTTTAATTTCAAAATTCATTGAATTCCATTTATTTTTGCTTGGTAAACATGAACTTAAACCCAAAGTATTCCAGAAATATATATGTATGTATGTATGTAGCATAATTCTTGGTATCAATGTATATGTTAACAATTTCCCAACAACAACAAACCCCTTGCATTTTCATAAAAACTTTTCCATTTCCCCAAAAGCTGCACTCAACAAAGCAGAAAGAGGAAGAAGAAGAAGTATAGGAAGTATAAGAAGAGGAAGAATGAGTAAGTAAGCAAGCAATCGTGGATGCTCCTCATTTTCCATTCAACACAATACGAGTATAATCTCTCAATTTTTCATGACAACAATCATCAATAAAGTCGTCGTTGCTGCATGTTTGCCATAAATGGCATTGCTGCTTCGTTGTTGGGATGTGAAGACGAAAATCTGTTGCGTGTGCTGCTCTGCATTGTTTGGACATTTGAAAAATAGAGTGCCCAGCCATTAAACTCAATCCGCTGTCAGATTCTCACTTTTTCATTTTTGCCATTTTTCTTGAGCTTCAACGCATTGCTTCATCATACCATCTTTCTTCTACACCTCTTCTACATCTTCTCTTCTGCCTCCGGTGTATTGCATTGCATGCTGATGAAGGAATATCCGCTGCTCTTAGGGCTGAGCTGTGTAACGCCTTCAAAATCATCAATTTCGCTTTATAGAGGCAAAATGCAAAAAAAAAAGAGGGCAACTCTCGTGCGCGCATCTGTATCGGCCGGGTTGTCTGTATGTGTGTTAAGCTATGTTAATGTAATTGAGTGTAAGTCTCTTTGTGTGTTAACAAGTGCCTCACCTAGGCACGAATTGGACCTAGATTATGTGGCCTATTAGTCTGCCTACACTACTTCTCACCGAGTGCTACAAAAAATGTTTACACACGTACGTTTGAACTTTTTCTCTGTCTATCTACAGATGTGCATTTCTTACAGAAAGTACTCTTTGTCTTTGCTTGTTTCTTTTTTTTCATTTTGTGTTTTCTTTTTTCAATTTTCAAGTAATTTTTAAATTGATTTGATTGCAGGTGGGCGTAGGCATCGGTTTTTGTATTACTTTCCTATTTTGCTAACTGTATTTACTTTCTATGTGTGGTTTGTAAAAAAAATTAAGATTTCTTTATTGAAAAAATAATAATAAAAGAAAATCATTTATTATATTAAGTGTAGTAAAAAGTTTTGCAACGTTTTGCCCGATAACTTTTTGCCATTTTAAAGGTAATGTCATATGCCTCCCTCATAGAGCCAGACAAATCATTCACTGTAAACAGCAAGATATAGTAATTACTAGGTGCGAGGTCCTTTTTAATACAGACTGCATAAGGATCTCCCAACCAAGCTCTCGAAGCTTAAGTTCGGACCTTGTCCGGATGAAACCTTCTTCCAAAGGCTGGGCACTTCTTGCGAACTGCTTCCTTGAGACGATACAATTGCTTCCCGTACAGTTCTAAATTAAGAGTTTGGCCGTAAGAGAGCAGCTAATAATGAACGATTCCTTGCCTATCCCATCAAACACAAGAAAAAAGCTTTCCTGACCACCAATCCCGGCTTGGACACCATTTGTTACCACGACCGTTTTCATTTGACGTTGCTGGAAGTAATTCACTTTCCCATTTGACACTTTATAGAATGTCGTCAATCTCTGTAGACATTTAGTTTGAAGCTACGTCAATTATGGTTGCGTTCATAGAATACCCCTGATAGTTCTGAGCCTGATTCGTGGCCCATCAATACATTATATCAGTATACATATATGTACATATTCTGCCCTGCTCAGGAAGATAATAGGTGGCATCCAACCGTCAGAAGATTGCTCTCACTGCAGAGTTTTCAACAAATTAGGGGACTTACAGTTTGTTCTTATTGTTCCATCGAATGGCCGTTGGATAAATCATGTCATAAATACACTCGGAGAGGTCGGGTATTTGTTGGAATGGTTCTTAACGTTTCTACTACCTGTTGTTGCAGAGGTTTGATGCGGCACTTCTTCTTTAATATCGTTCATCATACAGCTGCGCCATAGGTTACTATGAGCTTACGATCTTTCATAAGCCAATAACCCTTCTAAAGGTATTCCAAATTCGGAGCGCTTAACAGACCCTGCATTCAAAATGTTCCCTACAGTTGCGTTTTTTTTTATCAAGGATGACATCGAGCTTGAGAATATTATAAGAGGAGTGTCATTTAATCTGAATTAAAAAGTCAAGTTTCTTTGATAAAATCCTCTCTGCATACCATACTATCATAAGGAAGCTTAAACAGAGATGCATTCTCTTCTGTCGTTCTCTCCTGTCATGCTCACCAACTATGGGTAGATCAAGTCACTAGATTATGGTGTCATTGACTTTCGGGGACTTCAGTAATCTTAACATTACATATTTATTTTCTCACACATACATATATACGCGTATGTACATAAAAACTAATGCTTTAAATTGAATGCAACACGACAAACTGTGTAACTGTGAAACTGTGTGTGGGTTTGTTTTTTATCATTTGCCGAAATAACGGTGTTTTGCTTTCTCAACTGTCACGCGAGTAATGATGATAAACGAATTCGCTTCATGCCGCTAAACAAAGATATCTATTTAAATATATTTACATACATACACGGCACGATTTAGGCCACAAAGAAGTCGCTAGCAGGAACGCATCAGCGGCGAGAAGAGCAATCAGACAAATGATTTGACAGTTTGTTTACCGCATTGTCGCTGTTGATTGACAGTCTGAGCAAGCTTCTTTTGTATGTGTAACACTTAACCGGCATAGATACATACATACATATAAACATAGATAATCACGTGGGTACAAGCATATATGTATATGTATATGTATATATTGAGCGCATGAGTATGCAAATGCTCAAAAAAGAAAAATCTATTGTTTTTTGCATATATATATACATATATACATATATGTATGTACGTAACTGGGTAGGAGTCAAAAGTCATTTGTAATTATCGCTAATGACTTTTTGGCTAACAGCATTTGAGAGGTCAACGTTGAGGTGAGTGAAAGTCAAATTGATTTTCATACTTGCACACTACATAGTACATACATCCATACATACATACATACAAACATACATGTGAATCTATTTATATAATTTTTGCTCATTTTTATCACGTGTAATAAATTAATTAAATAAGTTGTAAAATATGCATATACGAGTTTTTGTAATTTTATAAATAATCAATTATAATTTATCATTTCATTCTTTACACTCTCTTTGCAGATTAATTTACGTTTAATACTCGTTAGTGGCAAGACAAAAGAATTCCTATTTAATCCATCAGATTCTGCTGGTGATATCGCACAAACAGTATTCGATAATTGGCCTGAAGGTGAGTGAAAATGTTGGCCTGAAATACATGCATATATACATATATATATATACATATGTGTATGGGAAGGCAAATCATTTGCAGATTACTTTTATATGACTTTATTTTTAGCTTTGATTGTAAATTAATATGGGTCTAAATTATCAAGAACGCTCATAATAATCTTAATCGAGATTATTCAGGTGTCTGCGTGTATTTGTTGTTGTTGATAAAGGAATATAAAAGGTGTTTTATTTGTATTAAAGATAAAGGTTTGCCATAATAATTTCGCGAAAGTGACCGCCGCGGCTACTTCGTATAAACTACCGTCGAGAGGCCCCGTTTCGAGCACTTTTCGCAGCAATTGCAACAGTGGGTCAGCTGTAAGGCGCTGAATATTCTCTTCAGTGGTGTCAGCTTCAAAATCCAGCGTAGAATCACTTTTGCCAACTGGTGTTCCTTTGGACTAAGTAGGCAATTGAAAAGTTAAGTCCTCTTCCGACGAACAAAAGCCAAACTCTACAAGTCCCTCGTCGTTCCATGGTGCGGAAGCATGGACGATGACAACATCTGATGTGTCGGTGCTAAGAGTTTTCGAGGGAAAGGTTTTGCGTAGGATTTATGTTCCTTTGCGCGTTGGCAATGGCGGATATCACAGACGATGGAATGAAGAGCTGTACGAGTTATACGGCGACATCGATACAGTTCAGCGAATGAAAAAGCAGCGGCTACGCTACCTAGGTCATGTGGTCCGGATGGATGCGATTATTCCAGCTTTGAAAGTTTTCGATGCAGTAGAGAAGGACCTTGGCTGTACTTGGTATCTCCAATTGGCGCCAAACAACAAAAATAAGTAACGAACGACGCAATGTTGTTAACTCAGCTATAATCGCGTAAGCGGTTTCTACGCCAGTGAAGTGGGTGCAAACTTCTCGGGCTAATCTAATCTGCTTAGACAAGGAGGTCCTTTCCTGCGTCCATCTGCGATAAACGTAATAGCCAATACGCAAAGGACTATAACTCCTTCAAGTCCTGCTTACTCCGTACAAAGTATCACCTGTTAGCAAGAGTTATTCTGCATTTGATTTCAAGGCTGACATTAATTTTGGTAATAATGTTGGACTCTAGATAGACGAAATTCTCTATGGCCTGAAGCTAAGACTTCTTTCAGTGAAGCTGTAAGTGCGCCGACTGTTTGTTCGTTGAGAGGACATGTTTGGTCTTATCCACATTCACTTTTAGACCTATTCGCTTCTTTGTCAGGCCTTTGAAGTTTTGCAGGAATTCCTTATTCAGACATAGCGGCGTAGTGCCAGCTTCTTACGGTGCCTTGGAAGGCTGCTTTAAAATCGATGTAAAGGTAATATGTATCGATTCTTCTATCACGAGCCTTTTCCAAGATTTGGCGCATGGTTAATATCTGGTCTGGTCAGTTTGTTGACGGTAGAGCAAACTTAGATGGGTGCCAAACATCGCGCTCGGGCGACAATCCATTGGTTGGGGTTTCGGGTTCGCCATCTCCGGGTATTGGTTTCTTACTGCCATTCAGCAGGCTAGAGACAGCAGTCGCCCGATTTCCACATTGGTTCCCAAATCAGCATGCTCTGCTCTTGAATCCTTCTGTTAGTCGCCGCATCTTTTCATAGAATTTTCGAGTATCACCCTTGCCGACCAGTTACCCCATTGAAAAAGAACGACTTCAAATAACCCTACAAAAACAATTCCAGCGATGTTTCACCGCAATGCTGAAACAAAACACGAACTGCAGGCGTTGGTCAACAATCACACCGTTAATTCTGTTTTTTTTTCAGGATTGACTGGTTGAGGAATCGAAGCGAATGTACTTGAAAAGGGTGGATTTTATGGCCATCATTCAGCTATATTCAGTATTCATTGCAGATCTCTGATATGAAGCAATGAATTTATATTCCGACGTAGCTACTCTGAAACGAAAAACCCACTTCCATACCAACATAGACCAAATTGGGCTATAGTTTTCTGGTCACGTCAACATTAGTTTTTGGAAAATATCCTGTGAGTGAAACCGACACACTTTCTCTATTACAACTTTAAACTGTTCAGGTGTAAAGAGCTTGGCTGGGTTACCATTTAAAGTAGGGTTCCTCATGAGAGAGGCTCCTAAACACATCCTATACTACCGCTATATTCACAATTTATTTTAAAGAGATATAGTTTTATTAATTCGCGGCGGTCTTTTAGGGCAGTCTCTTGCGAGAGGTCGGTTTTTCAACAAAGTTTTGCTACGTGAACTATATATTTTAAGGTAGGTCGAATTCTCAGTCCTTATGTGTTTTGAGGCTCTTCGATATATGGGTCCGCCTTTAATGTTTCGTGCTCCGACTCCAATTTATGTTTTAGGGTTACGTTAAATTGGACCGGTTGACCCCTGGAGAAGTCATGCATAGAGGGCATCTCATATTCATAGAGTTACCAAAAAGATTACATACATGCGAACAGAGCCCTATGCTGCTACACTTCCTGCGGTCTCGCCCATATAAATAATATAGTTTTTCTTTTAGCGAATTGTGGAAGTCGTATGAACAGCATCTGCCTGCTGATCGCTAGATACTCACATATTACATCAGCTTTTGTCTCAATGAGACCTGAGGACATTCGGCTCCAACAGGCAATAACCAGTTGACACTGTCTGCATCCTGTAGTTCGACCCTTCATATATGTACGTACCAAAAGTTGATTAGCCTCATGATACAAGAGTATTTCTTCTTCATGACTACTTTCTTATCTGAAAGCTGGGCACTCATAGTCGATTATTCCATGGCAATCCCACCACACGCACACGCAACAAAACCTTCCTGGCTATTAATCCTGGTTTGCAGACTGTTTGTGCCGTCTCACTACCCTTCGACCACACACCGTTTTCGAAGGCATGAGATTTAGCTTAAGAGAGCTTTTATCTTGTTTTACTTCTTTTCTGGTGCAAAGTTTTCTCTTAAAGACACCACAGCCGTGCAGACTTGCAGTAAAGTTAAAGTACTGAGAACTTGAAAGTGATTCATCTGTTTTCTATTTACCAGCACTAGTCTCTCTGCTATACATACTGTACATGCAATTAGTCATTGAATCAACGTCCGAAGATGACGAACAAAGACTCACGCAATTATTTATAATCTTAACATAAATTAATTGTCACACTTTGCCTGTCCGTCCATCAACCAGCTGTGGTGGCAGTCAACAATAAACATTTATAGCACGAAAATGATTGCCTGCTGCAGTCCATTTCATACTATCTCCTCATCACCCTCCGCTCAGACCTACTCGACCGGTCGAAAGGCGACTAACTGCAGGAGTGTTGGATTCAACGGAACGTACGATTGATTGCTGTGGGACAGGAACTTGTCGGACAACACAAACAACAATGAAACTGCAACAGTTGCAACAGCCACAATTGATTGCCTTTACATATATGTACATGTGTATGTATTCATAGCTACATGCGTATAACTGCAACGAGCTGTAGGTCAAAGCAGATCGCAAATGACCAAAACTTCAAATAAAGCATTGTGATGCTGCGTAGATACAGTCGGTTGGTCATCATCGTTCGTGGAGTTTATGGTATTAATAGAGCATATTGTATATATACATACTCGTATCTATGTTTGTTGATATATAACTGGCCACCGCTGTAGCAGCAAATTCAATTAGCATGCATAACTCGAGCAATGAAAATGTGCCACGTTGCAGCAGTTGGTGTTTGGGGCCGCGACGTGAATTATTAAAGATACATTGAAATGTGGATGCCCAGTGTGGCGTGTAAATATGTATGGAGAAGTCGTTGAAGTTTAATTTAGCTGTCTATAAATTCATCTTCATTCTTATATCTCGCGCTTCATCTTTAGCCGTTCTTAAGCTTTGAAACGTGGATTATTTTCTCTCATCTTCCGTCATTCTACGCATATTTGGTTGAATTTCTAGATACGATACCGATAAATCAGGGGCGGGTCGGGCTCAGTAAAACGAAGCTGTAAATTCGGTTTTGACAGCGTATCTCATTAGCTCAGCCCCTTAACAATTGACAGATGGCCATTCGACAGACTGCCTTTGAGCTTCTAGTAGTCATTCCAGTAGTAGGTATCTTTATGTATAAATCTGGCGCTTTGTAACCGCTGAAGCTATTTTCGGCCGAGCTCCTCTTCCGATTTGTGGTTTTGTGTCTTGATGTTTTTCCAACAAATGGAGGGATCTATAGCTTATACTAAGCCGCCTCCGAAATGCTGATGGTATTTTTTTATGAGGAGCTTTATTTCATGTCAGAAATACACTCGGAGGGGTTGGCATTCTCTGTCGAGGGGCGACCGCCATAACTTTTGAATGTTGGTGACACCGGGATATGAGCCCGATCCTTCCGAATGTCAGCATGCAATGCTAACCGCTCGGTTACCGCGGTCGTGTAGGTACCTTTGCCAGTGACTAGATCGCCAAATGTGGCACTGCGATCCGTCCCTAGAAATGAATACAGGATCGATTTCGAATGACCAAAACTTCAAATAAAGGACTCCTTAAGTCAACACTTTCAGATACTTATTTCAGCTGTAGCGGCAGTACATCGCCATGTTTTCCAGGAGGAAAGAGAGTGCCTTTGTGCTCGGACAATATTTGAGGAAGTCTTCGCCCTTTTGGTATCAAGAAATCCGATATCTCGTCTTCAGATAAACTCGCAAGACCCGGAAAACGAGAAACTCCACTAAACCCATTCCGTTTCCCAAAGCGGGTAAATAATTACCTTCTTCGTGGAACTATTTATGTGCAGGTTTTTCTTTCTAAAATAACGCACCGTTCGTTTCACCCAGTGAAGTCAAATCTCTTCCACTTCCCCTTCTTACACCGTCGGAAACTATATAGAAAATATTTAAGGCTTTAGTGTTGTCGCCCATACGAATGACTCGGCCTAGCCAGCGTAGGCGTTGTCTCTATGCTTGTTGTCTCTGTGCGTGTCCGGGGAGAGAATACACCCGCAGCAAGGCATCCCTTTCGTAAAAGGC